GGCATATCATGAGCTGCTCGCGACGCGCCTCACAGCAAGCTCGCCGCTGCTGCACGGGTATCGCAAGAAGGGCGCCTGATGCGCTGCATATCCGAGATCACCAGCCGCATGTGCCGCGCTGCTCCCTGCGCCGGACGCATAGCGGTCGTAAGACCCAGGTGAGTAACGCCTCCGCAGATCTTACAATATTATCCTGACTTGCCATACATTGTAGGCCTACCTCCCGTGTCTATCTCCTACCACAGCAGAATGAATCTAGCATAGTATACACCAGCATGTACTGTACAATTGTGCACCTAATATACCTCTTCCGTTAATCTATTCCCTATGAGTGAGTGTGCAAAGCCCAGGAGGCCATCTGCTGGTATTATCTACGGGCGAGCTGCGACAGCGCCATGGTATGCTGCTGAATTTATGCAGGCTGCCACGGTGTGCTGCCAAACTTATGCAGGTCGCCACGGGTGCTACGGAGACGTGGCGGAAAACTACTGGTCGCAGGGTAATAGGGGTCAGTTCCACCAGGCTGCTGGAACTACGGAGCTCACGGGGCGCTTCTGGTCCCAGACTTTTTTTCCTGATGTATATTCTCTCAGCGATGCTCATAACGCTGGTCTCTCTGCGAGAGGTGGCGTTACTACGGTATGTGCTATCAGAGCAGTTTTCGTAGCTCAGTACAATTTAGTATCATACGTTGAAAGAAGGGATATTATTACTGCCCAGCCGCATAGTCAGATCCTGAGAAGTGAGAGCTGCTCGCCGCCACTGACATTACAACGTGTGTGACGCTAGTACGTGAGACTGGAATAGTGAGGGTTAGTAGTACGAGGGTAGAGCATTTTAGAGACGCACAGTAAGCTGCCTCCGTTGAGCGAATGAATTTCAACGCGTGATAAAGGAGCTCCGGAAGGGAGGCTCGACGTCCGTGGTCGGGTCTTCAGTGTGGATCTGAGGCTCTATGTCAGCAACCTGTCTAGCAGACCTACGTTTTGACGATGTTCATCTACAAGTCTGCTTGTGTTCCGTACCAGGTCATGACGGCGATGACTACTCAGCCCTGAAATATGATTATAATACAACTGTTATCCAATACACTACAGCCCGCATATACACCAACTTGGTCCATCTTACCGCTTGAGTGTCCTCTGCTTTTCGGCAAACTCAACAATTTTCTTGTCGACAAATAGACCTTTGCGCCCACGGACAGCATCCATGTATGCCTTCGCGACGTTTATGCGGTCCGCCTTCTCGCCGAGGTCTTCGAGTTCCTCTTCCGTCGTCGGCACCCAGAACGGATCTTGGTCCAGCATCTCGTATCCCGCAAAAATGAGCTGCGGACTCGCGGCGCCGGATGTGCGCTTTCGTATCTCTGTGGAGAGGCTGTCAGCACACATCAGATGGGAAGGTAGGCAGGCGCACCGTCGGCGAAGCCGAAACTTTCAACTACAGGAAGTAGCGCGCGAACAGTGAAAAAGGCTGTGCCTTCCTTCATCTCCTCTGCGACAATGCGGCCTCTGCGTTTTGCAACGACACCATAAACCTTCCCGAGAACATCAGCTGGCAAAAATACGTCAGCATTATGGAACGAGGGGCAATAGGTGAAAACATACTAGATGCCTGGATGTCACACTCGTACATTGCCAACATCAGCCGGGGCGACCAGTCCAAGAGTCCATTTCGACAGGCGTCCCTGACCGTAGAGATGAACGAACCCGTCACCTGTGCCATTCTGTTGTGTTCTGGAACGGAGCGTGAGCTCAGACACGTGCGCTCTAGTAGACTAAATTTCTCACCTTGCTCAGTCTCGATGCCCGACCGGTCAATCTCAAGGCTTTCGACAAAGAAGGCTAATCCCTCCATCGGCTCAGCGCACAGCGGTCCTTGGAACGATGCCAGCTGAAAGCCGGTCTCGAGGTGATTTTCAAAGTCGCGGTCCGTCCGGTCCTGGTCCTTCTGCCTATCCATCTCCTTCGCGAGCCGCTTCCTGAATCTACAGAGCTGTCAGCATTCGCTATGCTGAAGGGCGAACAACACGTACGACGTCGGCTGCCCAGGCCTCGCGTCTACCAACAGACACGTCCCAGCCTTCTGCGGCCCAAACGCCCACAGCCGCTCGGGAACATCCTCCCACTCGCCGCCGACCTCCTTGCACTTCGCTTCAAACGCAGGCCAGAAGTCCTCTGCGCGGATGCTCGGTCGCTTGAGCACCTCACCCTGGAGGTCGACCTCATCGAGGTCATCCGTCTCGTCGTAATTCCTTTCGTCATTTTCCTCGCCATTATTCTCCTCTGCGCCACGTGAAGGTGACGACGGCCGCGAGGGATCTTCTTCGCGCGACGCGCGTTCCTGCCTCATACGTCGTAGTAGAGCGAGGTTGTCGCGGAGGAAATCGAAGATGGACTTCGGGAGTGGGGCGGCGCGGATGGTGAACTTGAGCAAGTTGTGCGCAGCAGCACTCTGAATTGTGCCTCGCTTTGCACTGCCCGACTTGGGGGGAGCCATTTCTGTGGATGGGTTGGCGAATTGTAACGGAATACACATGGAAATACACTTACCAACTCCTTTCACGGCCGTCTCGCGGAAGGGGACGATAGGTTTGGAAGCTTGGATCTCGATCTTTGCAAATCGCTCTCGTAGATCTTTCAAACATCGCTGAACACTAATGAGTATGGTCTACATAGCGCAAAACTAAGTGGGTTTTACCTCCAAGTGCAGCTCGCCGGCGGTCAGGATGACGTGCTCTCCAGTCTGCTGCTGGAAGGTCTCGACGCAAGGGTCCGCTTGGGCGAGCAACTTCAGGCCACTTATCAGTTTTGGCATATCCGCTGGAGACTCAGGTTCCAGGGCGACGCGGACGATCGGCGCGGCCTTACAACATGGATGAGCATAAGGTCAGAACGAGATCAATACAGATTGCTAACGTACCATGCGGGCCACGCCGCCAAGATTGACGAGACACTCCTTGAGGCTGGACAGGTCAGGGTTCTCACCGACACCCTGGTTGCTTGGCGCGCACAAAGTCGCATTCCGCCAGACCTTCCCCTCCAAACCTTTGATGGCGAAGACATTCCCAGCGCCCACGCTCTCCACGGGGACGAGCTCTCTGCCCATCATGACATACAGGCCCTCGACCTCGGTGACGACTACATGCCGTTCATTCCTCGAATGGCTCGGACCCAAGCTGTTCTGGTACTTCGGCAGGATGCACGCGATACGGGTGCCGCTGCGAATCGTACCAGAGTATATGCGTGCGAATCCAAGCAAAGTCTCGCCGCGCTCGAGATTCACTTCAACACTTGGATCCTCGACGCGCATCTTATCAAGTGCAACCTCCAGCGGCGTCGACTCGACATCAGTGGGCTTATCCTCTTGGTCATTCTCGGCTGCCTTCCGCGCCTCACGTGCCTCACGTGCCGCCTTGGCTTTCGCACGTAGCTCTTCTGCTGTAGCTGGCTTCTGTTTGTTCTCGGGCAGCTCCTCAGTGGGCACCGCAAACATCTTGCTGACGAGCGCAGTGATAGAGGCTCCAGGGGATGCATCGCAAGAGTAAAGATTTTCTTCGAGCTTGTTTTTGGGTTCAACGGTCGTCTCGTACAAGTCTGGGTACAGCATCTTCGGGATACGGGTGCGCTGAGCTGTCGGCGGGGGAGGGACGACATCGATGATAGATTGGATGACACAAGATGAGAGAGATAACCACTGCGAGAATATCAGTCCTAGCAACTGTTTTGTCTCCTTGGACTTCAATTCGCGTGGGGGAATTTTGAGGTTTAATGCGGCCACAATCTTTGTAACCTTGTCAGGATTTCTGCACGGAGAGAGAACATTTCAACTGGCGTTCAAGAGAGCCACGTCCAGGGTACTTACGGATTAGTCACGACGGCGTCGTAGACAGCGTAAATGTTCTCAAGAACAAACTGCACGAACAGTGGCTTCAAGTTACGACCTCGTAAATGCTTGTGACTGATGATCCGTTTCGTCTTTGGGTCGAGGTAGAAGTCACCCCACAGGACGGCTCGCAAGTTTGCCTCCTTGATGCCCAGCTTGACTGCATATAGGTGCGCAAATTTGCCGATGCGGAAACCCCAGCCATCAATTGCCGATGCAAAGATCACATTGCCACGCTCCGGAGCAAAGTAGATGTCCTCGTCGTCCTTCTCTTCGTATTCCTCTGCTTCGTTAACGATGGCATCGACCTCTTCGGCATACTCTTCTTTCTTGGCAGCGAGACGACGTTCGCGTTCTTCTCGCCACCGCAAGTCATCTTCCATTCGTTCCCCCGCGAAAGAACTGCCCATGACGGCATTCACCTGCTCTATCAGGTCGGACAGATGGTGGTATGCTTCTATAGGCGCGAGCTTGAGTTCCGTAATGAGTCGGTCAAATTTGTTTATAACGAGGATGGGCTTCAATCTGTCTTGCCATGCTTGCCTTAGCACAGTGATGGTCTGTAGCGCGTCGGATAAAACTCGCTTTGTAGAGGTTAAGGCATGCGTACCTGCGTGCATACGCCTTCTACGACATCGACCAAGACAAGAGCACCGTCGCACAGCCTGGAGGCAGTTGAAACTTCACTCGAGAAGTCGACATGACCTGGCGTATCGATCATGTTCACGACATATGTCTTTGGAGAGCTTCCTGGTGGGATCTGTCACGTTTTCTATGCCCTATAAATGCGGGCCTACTCACCTCCTTCCGCCGTCTTCTCCATAACCTTAAATCTGAGGGACACTGCACTACTCTCCATAGTAATGCCTCGCTCCTGCTCGTCCTCACGGCTGTCCAGGTAACGTATTTTACCGGCCATACGAGACGAGATGATATTATTTGCAGCGAGCAGCGCATCCATGAGCGTTGTTTTGCCATGATCGACGTGGCCGATGGTTGTAACGTTGCGCACATCGAGTGCCCCTGCACTTTCCATGTCGTGGTTGTCGGGAAAGAGAGAAACAGAGCGAGCGAGCGAGCGGGACCAACAAGAGCAGAATCGAAAGCGGCAAGCTACAATTATGACGCTGAAGCGCGCGCCGCGGCACCGAGTTACCGACGGCGCACGGCCACGTGGCTGTGCATCCTCAAACGCGCTTGTGGGGGGTTATATAGATAGCAATGTCTCAGGGAACGGCCGACGGAGGTATTGGGACTCAAAATTTGTGTGTACTCAGCCGTTCGTTGCTGCAGACGATGTGCGCGATGACGGAGGCGGCGCCCGACGCGTCGCGCCTGACGTGAACAAGGTCAGCGGCTATCACGTGAGACCGTGTCTGCCTCGTGTAGTTCATGTTCGACATTCGGCTTCGACAAAGACCCTCACTCCTCTTTTCCCCCCATCTCCGTCTGCCTCGTCTGCCTCTCCGACGCCGTCATTCTGCTCTCGCTTGCTGTCCAGCATGTTCTCCGAGATGCTGTCACAGTCCACGCCCCCCTCGCCATATGAATCAGAAACCGACGGCCGCAGGCCACTCACATATGTGTCTTCCCCCACGCCGTCCGACGATGACGATCTGCCCCTTCCAAAGATTAACTTCAGGATCGAGAACGGAGCGGTCGTGTACAGTCCAAAACCTTCCCCAAGTCCACGGCCAAGAAACTCGTTGTCGCGCTCAGAAAGCGCACCGGATACTGTCCTAGCGGATGCTCCCCCTTCAGCTACCACTCTGAGGCATATGTCCCGTCTGCCTTCTGCTCAAGCGCAACTGGCTACTCCAGCAGCATCCAACACACGACAGCCCATGTCTTCGGGGCTCACAAGTACTCAGCGCAAACTCACGGGTGCTCGCAGAGTACGCATGGACGAGTTCCGCGAGACCACCGAGAGCAAGGAGAACAACGACCTGTATGCTGTCGCTTCAACTTCCAGTTCCGCAAAACCATTGCAAGAGGTCGTTCCGATCCCACAGCGAACGTTAACATCGCAAGGGCGACAAATGCTCCCGGTACCGTACCGCACAACACGTACGAAACGGCCAGAAGTGATCACCGAGATGGAAGAACGTAAGTCGTGGTATTAATTCGCATCTTCTCCCCACTAATCTGTAGTAGCTCATGAAGAATTTGAGCCGTATGAAAGACCTCGATCGGCTCTGGAAATGTCTCCGGGGAAGACTCGCCCACGCCGCTCAGCAAGCATGAGTGAAGCACGTGGTGATGAAGCCCATCACGGCTACAACCACCAACCGTCATACGCTAGAGCGACGGCTACCCGAGGCGCGCGACGAGTGACATTGGAGGAGAAGATGAGGCAAGAACAAGAGCTTTTGTATCAGAGTGGTACGCACACATGCACCATAAAATCCGAGTCTTTACGCCTATATTTACATCGCTGCAGACAGAGGTCCCGATTCCTACGGGTCTGACGACCTGGAACGTGAGTAAATCCGCAGCATCTTCGAGGGTGATAAGCTCACGCTATATAGGCCAAGCCATGGCGCTTGTCAATGCACATGCGCCACCGGGCGAGCCTCGTTACGAACCCCGTCACTCTCCCTCTCCGCCACACAAGCATGCTGCTGCGGCACATCACACCCTGAAATCGATATATAACCACCAACGAAAGGATTCCGACAATCATCGCGTCGAGTCGCCTGTAACGGGTTCCCCAACCGCCATAAACCACCTGCCACGTAATTCGTCCCCGAATCACCGCGACCTTGACGCAGATGTGGCTCCGCGCACTGGCTATGTTGCTCTGCAGGGGAGCATGCAGCGCCATCGCCGCAGTCCCCCCGCCCCCGACACACCTACAACGAACGGAATGTTGGCGCCGCAGTCAATGTCGACCATGGGCAAAACGTTGACCGCCGGTGACGGTAGCAATAGGGATAGCTTTGGCGACGATGGCAACGCCGAGGGGAGCAGTGGCGAAATGAACGGCAGACACGTGCAGCAGCAGCATTACCAGCAGCCGGACCTCATGCAGTCTCAAGCTCACCAGCCGCAGCAGAACGGTCGTATGCGGCCGCCTCCGGTGCCTGTTCGTCAGTCACAGTCGCTGCCCCAGCAGCAACAGCCGCAGGCGCCGCTACCGCCCCCACCTCAGCCCAAGACCATGGCTGTGAGTATTTGTCCTGCTCATCCTATTGCGCTGATCACTGAAGATGGCTTCAGGTGAACAAGCGCATATATCAGCGACTCGACCTGCTTGGCAAGGGCGGATCTTCGCGCGTGTATCGCGTCATGGACATGACGACTAACGAGATCTATGCGCTCAAACGCGTCGCCCTCGACAGAACAGACCCTGAGTCGATGAACGGGTATATGAACGAGATTGCGCTGCTCAAGCGGCTCGACGGGAACCATCGAATCATCAGGCTCATCGACAGCGAGGTCCGCCGTGGTGGTGCTGGATCAAAGGGTATCTTGATGTTGCTTATGGAATGTGGCGAAATTGGTGAGTGTTGCGGTGGATGGTGCCTTCATGCTACTGACGCCGCGCGTTCAGATCTTGCTAGGTTATTGCAACAACAGCAGACCGAGCCGGTCGACTTCGTTTGGGTGTCGTACTACTGGAAACAAGTGAGCGATATGTTCACTGTTTGCGCCAAACGTACTAACGTGTTCCAGATGCTTCAAGCCGTGCATGTAATCCACGAAGAGAAGATTGTTCACTCCGATCTCAAGCCTGCGAACTTCGTCTTGGTCAAGGGTCAACTGAAGTTGATCGACTTCGGTATTGCCAATGCTATTGCCAACGACACCACGAACATCCAACGAGACCATCAGGTATGCATCAGTGAAACTTATCGCAAGCTCCGCAATTCAAAGACCCTTCGCAGATTGGTACCGTCAACTACATGAGTCCCGAAGCCATTGAGTTACCTGATGGCATGCGCCGCCTTAAAGTCGGCCGACAAAGCGATATCTGGTCATTAGGATGCATCCTGTATCAGATGGTGTATGGCCAACCGCCATTCCAGCACCTGTCCGTCTACCAAAAAATGAAAGCCATCCCCGACGGCTCGTACCAAATCGACTTCCCCGAGTACGCCTCGCCGCTTGCGCCACGTACGGAGCCAGGCTCACCGCAGAAACGGCTGAATCACCTCAAAGTGCCTGTGCCCAAGCACGTCATCGAGACAATCAAACGATGTCTTGTGCGGAATCCCAAGGAGCGGGCGACGATCCCTGAGCTGCTTGATGAGAACTGGCTAACTATGCGGGAACGTAAGTATCATATCGTGTTCGATGAGAGTGAACGCTAACCAACATCTGGCATTGACAGCAACGTCAGTATTAGCACCACCAGCCTCGCCGTCGCCAGCGCCTCCGGCCACCGCGCCTACCCTTAAGGAGGACGAGGTCGTCATCAACCCGTTCTTCATGTCTCAACTGCTGAAGTACGGCATTATGCTCGGTCAGTCAGACAAGAGCTTTGAGGGTGACGCGCTGTCCTCCGAGGCCATGCGGCTTGTCCGGGAGCTCCAGAACGTCCGAGCGAGCACCGACACGCCTCCACCGGAGGCAAGCGAAGAGGACGGCGCCGTTGAAACCACTGATGCAGACGCAACATGACAACTGCGCTGTGCAGCACAAATGGGCACCGCCAAGGCATGCCGCACTCAGTGGACGACGGACCTTCGCCGGGTGCTCCATAAGCCCCTCGCGCCATATTCTCGGGATCCGCCTCTCACGCGTCCCAGCTACGCGCGACGATAACACGTGGAAGGACTATATTATGACATCCCTTCCATCCGGTGGGAAGCCGTGGGCTTTCACCCTACGGCGCCCTTGCTCGCTGTTTCTCCCCGCGATGAATGCCATCGTCCGACATTTTACAATAGGTTCGAACACATTCTCATCTTTCGCCTTTCACATCACATTTTTCTTGTTGTTCCTGATACTCATCATGTGTGTTGATATACTACCCGATCCGGTCGCTCGTATTCTTGCTACTCACATACATTAGTACCCTCATGATGCTCTCTTCTCTTTCTCGTTTGGCACACCTACACGCTGTACACTCATACATAGTTCGAGGACACTGCAATGTTTAAGTATGAATGATACTTGTAGCTAGACGTGTATGCAGATTTTACTGCTTCGATGGCTTGTGGGACGCCCCGCCCTGGGATGCTCGACAGATTGAAAAAAATCAAGGACATATCTCAGGATATTTCTATGCTATTGCGGCAGTAAGCCTAAGATGTACCCATGATTGATCAGGCTGGGAGAGCACCAGCGGATGGTTAGTCCGGAACTCGTAAACCAGAATGCTATCTAGTCTACAACTTAGTACGAGAGCGGCCATCTTCCTGGAGCGAAGAAAGCAAAGCGGAGGAAGATTAGGCGGGTTTGGAGCGAAGAAAGGGAGCAGACCGAATACTATTAGGCTCGCCAATACTGTCGCTGTTGCATGCACCACCCACCGGTACCGGTGAGGCATGTTAATCTCTCTTTATCCTGGGAAACAGGCGCAGTCAGAGGTCGCGAAGAGGCAAGATGGCGGGCGCACGATGTGAAGGCCACGACCGTCAATAATCTGAGGAAAGCCTTGTGAAGGTGAAGGTTGGTGAACGAGAGTAGAGAAGAACGTTCAATGAAGATACTTGCCGTCGAGCGCGTACATTGAAAGCGCCTATGTGTGGCTGAGTCGGCCCTCGCTAAAGTAACTCTTGTTGACATACTATGATGGCACCCTGCTTTATAAGTGTTCCCTGCTTTATTAATTTGCTCTTGCTACTTCAATCTGCCTCCGAAGGTGCTGGGAATATTTTTAATATAGCTCTGTACTCATGCTATAATATAACATCCATATCATGACAGACATAAGGGGAAAGACGGTATGGTATTTTTGTAGATGCTCGGAAGCGGTCCAAAACTGGCCGAAAATGCTACTGATGGCTAGATCCAACCAGATCTCACACACCAAATATTCTTACGATTGCATTTATGGACTTGTGTATTTACATCAGGCATGGCTGATTGATATATTTGGTTTAAAAGGTGCTATGTACATGTACAGAGAAGGAACATTAGTGGAGCGTTACAATAAACGAGCAAGGCGTGATGAGATTGTCGCTCCGCCTGATCTCAGACACTTGAGGTCGACTTTGGAGAGACGGCTCGGCTTCTCGGCAGCAGCACGGCTCGACGGCATCTGGTGTGACATTAGTGTGACGAAATTAATAAACGAGGGAGCAGGACCCGGAAAGGATCCGCAGCTCTTGCAAGACCTCAATAAAATACAAAAAAAATATGAATATGTAATCAAGGTGTGCGTACATCAATTTATGCAAGACCGCCCACGAAGAGTGGTTATGGTAAGCTACAAGAAGCGGGTTTACTCAAATTTTATAAACCAGGGTGCCATCATGTATGGCCGAGTGACAACAACGTTATTCATGGCATTAATCTCGCTGCTGACGAGCCCGGGCGTGGCGGCGCCGGCAATTTCCAGACCTGTCAGCAATTTTATGCAGCTTTCCGCGCGTACTTTGAGTGTCCTAAGGCGTGCACTTGTAACTGTAGCGGCTGCCCTCCTTCGCTGGCCAGTGCTGAGTAAATCCCTACCTGAACTTCGCATTGTGCTGTCGTAGCATACGTTTGAGACTCTAGGCCTCCGGAAATTGTCGTGGCCGGGCTTCTAATCCCACTATCCCAAAGGAGACGCGAAATCAGCGACCTGAAACAACATCGAGAAGTCGGCGGTATTAATGCGCGTCTTTTAGCTACATGTGGCAACCCGTGTGTGCGTCCCGAGCAATGCTACAGCACTTGTACACCGCCGGCGCGCCGTGAGGTATAAATGAGTTGATGCCGTTACCGAACAGTTCACTGCGCGGTACGTGACGCGCGTCTCCTCGTTACCTAACTGTCAGAAAGATAAGTAAATAACATCAGTGCACCGTTAGGCAAGCTCTAACGGTTAGCTAACGAGATTGGGTAACGGGCTGGTCTTTCCATATTCCCGAGGTGTTCTGCAGCGGGGTTTGAATATGTCGGCAGTACCCGTTTGAATAAATTACACATTTTCCATTGAATTTTCGCTCTATTTGCATGAAAATTTGACAATAAAAAGCAATATATTCCTGACAAAACTAGGGAAGATACAAAGCTCTAGGAATTATTACTACACTACAGTACATGCTAATCTTCCAGACAGACACTGTGCTTAGTACTCTTCACATCTGTCATGACTTGCTGAGACTTGCATGGATACCCTGCACAAAGCTAAAAGTGTGAGCCCTTAAAACACAACAGCAGACTTATGAGCT